TTTTCGTACATTTTACAATCAAAATTTAAGAAAATAGATTAGAATTATTCAGATCTTCTTACTATGTGATAAGTTAAACCATATACAAAATATCTCAAAGCTAATTAAATTTATTCGAATAACATAGAAACTAAATTATGTGATGCGGTTTTGTCTGAGGATTTCGATCTCGCAGGAGTGCGAGTAATCTACGTAAGTTGAAACAAAGGAGTAATTGCAGCACTAAGCACCGTAGGCAAAGGAAATAGTTGTCCCACAGCAGGTGGACACTAATGATAGAGACAAGATTTAACCCATTTATCTAAGATGAGGACCACAATGAATCAAATAAATCGCCGGATACGATGCATTACATTGACCAAAATGTTCATAAAATAATTCTTACTCCATTCGAGTGCCTTCGTTGACTTTGTTTCAAGTTTACGATGTTCGATTGTTTGTCTTGTTGATGATGCTGTGGTCATGTCATCGTAAGTTTTCTTTCTTCGATTGTGTTGTACAAGTGTTTGATTCTGTGAAGCTCCCCCGTATTGTATCACTCGTAACTTATTATTAAAGAATTTAGGATTATAATTCATTTTAATCTATGTGATTTTGATCGTGAATCATTTAGATCTTTATGGTTTATAGTATATAAATTTCTTCAATCAAATCCGAGTTAACAAATATTAGAGTTTACTTGTGTGATATACTGATTCATAATAAATCATTAATATAATGATATATATAATTTAAGTAAAAAAATAGTTCATTTTAGGCCATGTGATTTTGGTCATGGACCACTTAAGCTCTCATGGTTTTGTTTGTATCTAAAATAATTTTTTTTACTTTTAAAAATATAGTATATAAGTCCATTCCGTTAAGTCTGAGTTGATCGATGTTAAAGTATACTTACGTGACATGCTAATTCATAATACATTATTAATATAATGATACATGCAATTTAAACTTTTAAAAAAATCTATCTTGTCAAGGAAGAGGAAGCGACGAAGATCGTAATGATTGACGAAGGCGGAGAGATAAAGGTAACAGAGGTCAAAATTAGAGGCGAGGGAGAGTTGGACCACCATAAGTGTGACGAGTGAAGGCGCACGAGAGGATGAAGTGGGAGACGGTGAGGATGAAGATACCCAAGAGAAGGAAGAGGGATTAGGAGACCATTGCATGCTTAGCATCGGATTCATCAACGCACATCCACTCGAGGTAGGACCGGAAGCTCTTGAGCTTGTTGTCAACGTATGAGAGATTATATGCATACGATGCCCTATTAGGCAATGGCGGCTCGGTGCTGGTGGTGGTGGTTGCTTTCATGACGACACCTCTTCCCACCATTGATAATGGTCTCAATTTTGTTTAATTTAAATTATATATATTATTATATTAATAGTTTATTATGAGTCAACATCTCACGTAAGTAGACTCTAACATTTGTCGACTCAGACTTAATGTGAGAGACTTGTATGTTATATTTTTAAAAATATAAGGGTTATTTTAGAGAAAAATAAAACCATAAGAATTTAAGTGGTTCATGACTAAAATCACATGGGCTAAAATAGATCTTTTTTTTTAACTTAAATTATACATATTATTGTATTAATAGTTTATGAGCCAACATTTTACACAAGCATACTTTAACGTCTGTTAACTCAGACTTAATGGAAGATGTTCATATGTTATGTTTTTAAAAATGTAAAAGTTATTTTAGATACGAGTAAACCATATAAGTTTAAGTGGTCCATGACCAAAACTACAAGGGTTAAAATATATCTTAACCCAAAAATTTATTATAAAAAAATAATTTTATTCATTGAGATAATATATATTTATGGAAGAGATTTCTTTCGATCATATGCTTACTAAAGCATATGATTGATCCTTAAATATTATGATTAAAATAGGAATGTAAAGTTATCTTTTATATTTATCTACGTCATACTTTCTACCGATTACGACAACATAGTTCGATGACATATGATCTAAGCAATTTTGACTAAGTGGATGTAAACAAATCACAATCTATCAATCAATTTTGTCTCGAGAAGACGTGTGCAAATAATCTCGTCACGTTTGTGGTGTATAGGTGTCTCGCGTTTATTGGTTGCATTCTTTAATGCGATGAAGAATAGCTACATATCGACACTGTGTAGTTATAAGAGTCGTAATAACCATTAATGCAGAGATTGAAGCGAGAGAGGCGAAGCAGACACACCCACGTTGGTTCTATCATCGCATGTGTAATGTATCTGATGTTGGCTCTATCATGCCTCAACCGTGTTAAATGCATGTGATTTGTCTCTCATATTAGAATAATGATAGAATAATTGCACGAGGAGTTGTCTTATCTAATTTATTAATTAGTATTATTTTCATTACTCCGCTATTATTCGAGGATCAAAGGTCCTATACAACTTCTAAAAGAATGCAACATGAATTATATATCAAAGATAATCATGAATACATAAACCATCAATTGAATCGATGGGTCAAATTATTAGAATCATGCTTACATAACAATGGATTGGGCTAATTACATATAGTTAGATTTTTTTTTAGCATCTTGATCTTCTATAATTAATTATGAAAGTGAAACAATTAGGTTCATTTATCATAACATCGTTGGTTTTATCGATGGAAACATAAAAACAAGAGACAAAATGATAATTATAATATTTCAATTGATGATGATAGATGATGACAACGTTGATTATCGTGAGTGATTGTTATAGATAAGGAGAGCGATGATAAAAGATGAGGGATGCTCTGTATCTACGTTAATGCTAACGTAGTTGCTGAGCAACAAAAGGGCTATCGATATACATGTTGAGTGACCCTTTCACTACTTGACAATTATATCGATATCGATGCAGATGTGGAGCGACGAAAGGGTCGCTCATGGTATCAGCACCGACGTAGATGCAGAGCGACATCGCTCTACATTTGCGTTAGCACTGATGCATATGTCGAGTAGCCCTTTCGTCACTGCAACTGCGTCGACGTTGACGTCAACACAATGAGTGATTTTTTCATCGTTCAACAACTACGTCGACGTCAATGCAATAAGCGACTCTTTTTGTCACTCGATTATTGCATCGATGCTAATACAAATGTAGAGCGACGAAAGGGTCACTCAACAACTATGTTGGCGTCGACATAGATATAGAGTAACACTCATTTCTCATTGCTGCTCTTCTCATCCATAACAACCACCATTAGCCCCAATAGTGCTATCATCCATCACCACCAACTCAAACGTTTAAATTATCTTTTTATCTATTATTTTTATATTTTTGTTAGTAAAATCAATGATGTTAGAATAAATGGACCTAGATGTTTTACTTTTATAACTAACAAAGATTTCAATGTAAATTTTTTAAGTCTAGGGTCCAAGATACTAAGAAAATCTAACTATAAAGGGGTAATTTGTAACTAACCTGATCGAATTATATACATCCGAATAACAAATAAAATAAGATTTAAAAAAATTAAGGGCATTAGCTCAAACAAGATGATTAGTAAACCGAATTGATCGAGGATTATTTTCTGAACCCAACTAATAAGTTCTATGATTAACTAGGAATGACCGATATAACATGGTGTGAGATGGAAAGGAGGTTAGAGATGACTAAGCGAGGTAATAGGGTTAGATCTCTCCAAATGAGTTAGATCCACCCAAACCTAATTTTGTCGAGGTAGATCAAGTCCAATTTACACGGTTTGAGTTCTAATTTCCAAAGTCTCATCTCCATCCAATCGGATCTCTAAATCGATGTTGAGATCAAAGGTTTGATGACTATGATCCCTAGACCGAGCAAATTATTCACATGGTTGACTGGTCAACGGCTAATTGTTTAAGGTTCATCAAACCTCCTACTCGGGGCATCGGACAAAGTTGACCAGTTACTCCACGTTGACCAATTCATTGTGTCAATTTGGTGAAGAAATCACTAATTTATTAAGATGTTACATATATATATATATATATATATATATATATATATATATATATATATATATATATATATAT